GAATGGTATAGAATGGCTCATACTTTCTTGTCTCATACTAGTTTCTTATCTCTTTAGTCTGAGCTATCTTTTCGGTTTTGTCCCACGCGCTTCTTAGATGCTATCTATTGGCACCTAAAATATATTACTTTCACATTTTCTCAATTTTTCGGTCCATTAATACTAAAACTGAAATATCAAATTAATAATACTATTATTGAAAGTAAAATCTGGTTTTTACGCTCCTTTCAAGAGAAAAATTGTAAACTGTTTTTAAAAAAGTTCGTTTGAACCTTTCTGAATATTCACAATTTTGAACTCATTTTCACAGAAAACTTTTGAATTTTCGAAAACCTTCATAATAAATTGTTATTAAAAATTCAATAAACTTTAAAACCACCCGTATAGTAAATTTTAATGACATGATAAGTACCTCAGCATTTTACGTTTAATTGTACATTTTTTGAAAAATCAAACTCATACATCAAAATGACGTATCTATCATGCTATTCAGTGCATTTATTACTATCTGTTCAAAAAAATCCAAGAAAAAATGTGCGCCGTTTTTGAAAAAATCTTATTTTGTATTTCTCATATTTCACAGAAATGCGCGAAAATTGCTAATATATTTTTAAAATATGTGCATTATATTAATACGTTAACTAAATGTGGAAAACAAATTTGAAACACTTCTGCGCTATCCAGGGTATCACAAAGGTGTATTTCGTTATAATAAAAGAAATCGATTGTATGTAGCAATATAAAACTTTCTCTACGGTACATTTACCTCCGTTTATGCGTATGTATACGAGAAAGAAAAATTAAAACTGAATTTCTATCTCTCGGTTGATTGATGATTTTATTGCTGTACTTTGAATGTCTGGTTTTCACAACGGGTGTAAATTAAAATTGTGTTTGAACAAATATTTCAGCCAATTTTCTTCTAGCATTTTCGGTTAAACTATTGGGTTTTGGTTGTTAAGACAACTCATAACTGCAATACACTATGCAATGATTCTTGATTAAGAAAATTCTTTTGTCTGAACTATTGTTTCTGAAAATAATTTCTTTCAGAAAATAATTTCAAATCGAATTCAGAGAGCATTCGAAAATAGTTTCAGAAAATACATTCAAGGATATGAACTTCACCATTCTTCGTTGTCTTTACACCGCCGCTAACTTCTGATAACGAAGTAATAAATAGAAGTTTGGAAGATGACACTGCAATTCAAGCTGAAGACACTGACATGCATATTTTTTCTTGCAAAAACTGCTATCAACGTAAACTTTTTTGCTTCTCAAGATTTGTGATAAGATATATACCCACGTCACATCCGGAATGAAATGCAAAAACAACCCTACAATGAAAATTGGTTCGCAACGCAACGGAACGATGCAGTTTAGAATCGCTTTTTCGACGGATATTCACTTGCCTATACGCAGCCCACCCCCCGAGAAAACATGATGAGGAAGCACATCCATGGAGGCCTATTGTTTCGATATGTATGTATGTATATATATATATATATATATATATATATATATATATATATATATATATAACGCAAGCTTCAGCTACGTCGGACTGAATGCTCAGTTCGAGCTTTGTGAGGCAGGGGGCAGAATTTTGGGAGTATGAGAAAGTTTTACGCCAAGACACGGAGTTAGGTAAATCTATGCGTATATTGTTTCAAGAATACTATTACAGACAACAGGCACTGAACAAATACAAGGAAGCAAATGGTAAATAACATTTACAAATATTACTCAGAATTAAGTTACTCTCTTCCAACACTTTGAAAGATTTACACACTCCTTTAATATTTAACTGAATACTTCCTACTAATTAATTCCCTTTTTTTAATGCCCTTGCATGGTAATTCATGCTTAGCCAGCATCGTTTGAAAAGATACAAAATGTTAATTTTACATTCTAAATTATTACAACATACAGTGAAATTATTTCTATTTTAACACCATTCTTTTGGCTCAAAATATTCGCAACAAATTAACAATATGACGTATCGACAATATGACAAATATCGACTATACAGTTATTTACAATTAATTTCCTTACACGTAATTGAAAATGTATTACACTGTTATTTACAAAACTATCCTTGGGAACATTAAACACAAATAAAATATATTGTATTGGCTTACAAGGTTTCCCTTTGTCGTGATATAGTCCGCAGCGAAATCTATGTGATTATGCAAATTTTGAATTCAGTCTTTCTGCCGCTGCTCTAGCGCGCTTGCGGATCTGCCTGATCTAGACCCCCGTCACAAAATTTGTTACCTTCGCAGCAGCGCTCGCAGTGGCGGCTTGCGCCAACTTGGCTTCTCCTCCGACGCGCCTGACCTTGCTCCAGATTTCGGCCGCACCGTCGCTCCTCTTCCGCCCACAACGTCACACCAACGCCGTTGTCTTCATCTTCCCCCACGGAGTCAGTGCCAACGCTTCTTTCTTCGCTCCCGGCACCGCACGCTCTCGTCTACTGCTACCTTCACTACTCTTGCCCCGTGACACGACAACAACGGATACACAGTCCTTAGGCGTATGGTTAACAGCGTAGTTTCGGCGTATTTCAACGCCTTTGACTTGTGTTGCGAAGTTCGAAGTCTTTAGACGCCTCGTGATAATTAACGCCTCTTTCTCGCGACGAGTACTATTCTTCGCCCAAAATGTTCTAACTGCCGAATCAATGTTGAATACTACACAACTTCGCTGCTCTACGTTCGCTGCTGCACGTTCTGCCGCCACCATACGAGCTGTTCTCCGGCAAACACCGCCATAGAAGCAGCCAATCCGGCGGCGAGCAGGATGACGGCGGCCTGCAGATGCGCGGGCGCGAGCCTCCTGGCGCCGTCTGTCGGCGCTTTGGCGAACAGCCCGTCCAGCTGCGCGCGCATCGCCGAGTACTCCTCCCAGCGCTGCGGCAGCCCGGCCTCCTGGAGCGCCACCGTCGCCGCGTCCACGGCCCCCAGCAGCGGCCACCCGCTCCGCACCTGGCGAATGACACCGTGCACCTCACATCGCTGGCTTCAATTGAGTTGGTGATTCCTGGCGCGTCAACTGCTAACGTCATTAAGTGTGGTGTATGTTTTTTTTTCCTCGGGAGGTAGCGGTGATCTCCCCCTCCCCTGTATGGTTACATCTGGCCCACACCTACCTGTCGGCTAGCGCGGTTTCCCTCAACAAGGTATCTCCCTCTATCGGGAAGCTGCCCCAAACGGGACACGCCCTACGCTCCCGATTCATTTCTTTGGTACATCGCACCCCTAATGCAACAAGGCCGCGCCTGAAACATCACACATTTCGCAGGGGAGCCTTCGGAAGGTTTCTCGGAGACATTTAAAAACAGAAATTGAATTTACATTGAATCGCTATTCCTTGAGTATTTATGATACTAAAAAAATCGCGTTGTTGCACATCACGTAATGGAAAACGAGAAAACTAACAATGAGTGTATCTCAATTTTAATTTTTTTCGGAAATGTGGCCCTCTTGCATTGGGAATGTGATTTTGTTTTCATCGTTGCTACACAGATCGGGTAATTTCGAGCGTAAAATATCAACACCTATGCGAAGGACCACCTTAACAGTGTTAGAGGCCCTGGCTGTAAGCAGGAAAGACTTAGAGCAATAGGGATTGCAATACGGCTCGCATTAATTCTGGAGATTTAAAATAAAAAACACAAATAACCCCTATGTAGTTCAAAACATAATTTATAAATAGCTGTATATGTTATGTACGTAAAATAGAATCATCTACGGTCTCTTATCCTATCAGGGTTTTGCAGCTCTTTCGTAGGTTGTTACGATCAGTTAACGTTTTGTCGTCAGGATGAGCAGACAGAAAACAGGTGCTGTGCTTTTGATTACAAACGAACGAAAACGTGAAAAATTATATTATTAGTGCAACCTCTGTTAATAAATCAGAAGAACGCAGGAGCCTTTAGAGTTCTCTTTCAAAATATGTTTTTTTACAAAACTACCTCAATATATTCAATAGAATTTTCAACCCTCTCATTTGAGGCTATGATCAGGTGATAAAAATTTAAATACACAATGTATGAAACCATTAAGCTGTACGTACGCATGTGTTTATAGAAGTAGTTGCTAAATCTCTCGAAAATGAGTGCAGTGTAAAATTGTCTCCAATATTGAGTACTATTGGTTTAGTTTTTGTGATTCGCATGGTGATTTACCTTTTACATTTGCACTACAACCACAAGCAGAAAACCACCATGACTTCTACGGGATTATAAATTTCAACTTTAGCGAAATATGGTTTTCACCCAACGAGATAGAATATAGTACATAGAGTGACTGAAGCACACTCATCATTGCAACACGTTGAAGCAATGTTTGTTGTTCTTGTTTTTTTGCAGAAAAAGGAGCGCCTTCTAGATAAACAGAATATTTTGCTATTCCGTTTGGAGCTGGTTAAAGCAGGGTGGGCCCTGCCCGCGAAATCACAACATGCAAGGAGAACGAATTGAGGAGCTTTGATTCCTGTATCGGTTATTGCCATAAGAATGGAATCTGTTGAAATGTTATTGTAGTTAACATAACGCCTGAAAGTGAATGTTATTTCAATAAGAAGCAAACAAACAGAGCACAAATATGGCGGCAAACTTGAAAAATGATAGGTATTGATGACCTTTATTTTTACTGTTATATTCCGATCATACTTAAAGTATTGTAATATTTTTATTCTAACCACTAATATAATTTATATACAGATAAACAAAAAACAATATAGAAATAAGATCCGATACAAACAACTCCTCGATTCAGTACACCAGTAATAAAAAGCATTATAATGCTGTTATACTTGCCACCATTAGAAACCTCCCAGGTTTTGACTGCAAAAAAACATGGCAGAACCTAGTTCGGCGAGCGGCCACCAAGAGTGCTGAAACCATGATCAGCCACTCTAAGTAGCATATTCTATCTCGTTGTTTTCACCCCAGCTGCCGACGCCGTTCAGTGAAAAATGCATTATAGAAAATGGACCGACTTTTCCAACCGCATCGCAATGCGGCTACCGGGCGGCGCTGGGTTCTGCAGTGGGAAGCGCGTCGCGGTGGGGCCGCTGCAACGCCAGACGCGGCGCACCTCGTACGCGCCCAAGTAGGAGAAGAGGTGCTGCCGCATGAGGTGCAGCAGGGGCTGCCCGTCGGCGGCGCAGAAGCGCGCCAGGCGCAACGCCCACTCGGCGGCCACGCGACTGCCGCTCAGCCCCACGTTGGGCGCCAACAGCACCTCCTCGAACCTGCGGGGCCCAACAGCACATGGCATCTGAGCTAGCGCTCTTCAAAGGGATTGTAAGAATCATATGTCTTCTATGTAATTAAGTATTATTAGTGTTATTATTATTATTATTATTATTATTATTATTATTATTATTATTAATTATGTGCAGTGCAGTGGCGTTGTGAAACTGAGGGAAACGAGAGTGTAAGAAAGACTACAGCTCGATGTTTCGCAGTGCGGTGAAGTGAAGTGTGGTGAAGTGGAGTGCTAAGAAAGATTGCACGCTGAAGTGTTCACGTTAATTTGTAAAGTTTGTAGATTTTGTAGTAAGTTTTTAAGTTCTGTAATGCTAAGTTAGTGTATTCTGCCACCAAGTTCTCAAACATAATTGCAGAATTATTAATACATCTAAATCTAATAAATGGGGTAATTGACTTAGAAATATCAACCTTATTTTATTGTGAAGTGGAACTCATAAACTTTTTTCTCATACAAAAGCTAAATACGGGTTGTCTTAGTCACTCGACTCACAACCACGCGATAGCCTATTTCTTCCCAAACTCGCTCCAACATCTCAGAAGTGATGATAGTATTTGTTTCCACTGTCCGTAAAAAAATCACGAAACTTATTACCGACAATTATTTTGAATAACTCTGTATATACATATGAATATTTGTTAGGCACTGCCGTACCGTTCCTTCCTTTACAACTAAACTTTGTCAATTTATTGTTTGCACTTGCGCGAAGAATATAGTCATAGTGTAAGGAGAATGTGACTACATCTGTGGCATGTAAACACGCGTTGATGATTTTATGCGTTAATGCTGACTCAAGCTCCCCTGAACAGATGCTCTATGCAACCCGCCGCAACCTGATGTATTAATTCCGTCTTTGCTGCATATTGTGCCCCTGAAACTATGAAATATCGATCGGTATTATCACTTTAACGTTATCTCGGACAAGTAAATGAAATTTCTCCAAGACAGTGACATAACGAATGCGTACCCAAAACTGAGGGAGAACGTTTTAACATTAGAGAATTTCACATGTTCAAATTAGGACATAGAACAAAACCATTCTTGCGAGGAAGTCTTCCATTTAAGAAACTTTGTTCGTGAGCGTAGCGTAAAACATGATTAAAAATCACTTCAGTAGCACCGTAGACCAGTATCGTGTGAAGTGTAATACATTGAAATGGCGAAGTATTGCCGGGTCCACTACCATAATATATAATATATGAGCCGCGAATTTTTAGGCACTTAACATTCTAAATAGTCGTTTAAATAGATACCAAAGGTCTAATATAGGAATGCAAGTAGGTACTATTTATAATTTTCAAAGTGCGACATTTTTTTGCATTTTTCTGCAAAGTCGAGCTTTTTTTGGAGTTGTCAAACCATAGATTAGGATTCATCATCCACAAAACATGTAAATCAGTTGACGAAAAACTACCGGATATTTTTCCTGAGCCAAATATCTAGTGATTGGTCTAATAGCTGTATGACGAAAGAATTCCCAGGCCAAATAAGCTTGGGAGGGTGACGGAAATATGTCATTCCATATGTGGCCACATGTCTTTCTTACCCCCAAGCGTGGAAAATAAATGAAAACCGTGCTTAAGCCTGAGTACAGCGCTCGCTGGTACACGTCGGAGGCTAAATGCCCAATACACTCGCACATTTAAAAGCGACTACATCACCATCCCTACCTGCCCATGTCGTGCGTGGTCGCTCGCGTCCTCCCGCGTAGGCGCTCGCTAAAGTCGCGCTCCTTGAGGCTGTTGGGGATCAAAAGAGTGAGGCCCCTGGCTAAGAAGTCGTCAAGAGTGTCCACGTCCTCCAGACGCACTCGCGACACGAGGAGGTCGGTGTACGCGGCCACAAACGCCGTGGCCAGAACCAGAGTGAAGAGCGCCCACAGAAGGAAGCACATACGATGCCTCAACCCGCAGGACGGAAGGTGAACTCCTTGCTGCACCAGGATTCCCCACGTCAGAAAAACGCACTTCGGAAAGTCTGCCCTCCCGCCGGCCCAAGTCAGTGGGAACAGGAGAGTGGTGGCCAGCAGCGCTAGCCAGACAGGGCCTTCAAACGCCAGCACCAGTTTCAGGATCTCCGGGACTTCTGGGGCACGGCGCACCAACCCCACGTATGCCCCCACTTCAAATACCCGCGTGGTCTCGAAATATTGCACTTTCAGAGGGAGGAGAAAACGCGTGATGAAGGCAATATCGGCTCTGCCGTACACTATTTCGGCTCTTAGGCCGGTGGCAGATCCGTTTTGCCTCACATTCCCGAATCCACTCTCCTTCGGGTTTACTTCTATTAGCGTGGCGTTCAAGTGTTTTACAATGGTATCACGAACGCAAAGATCACGTCCTCGAAAACAAAGGTTTTTGATCCACGTGCCGTTTTCAAATGAATAAGGGGCGTAGAAAAATTTTGTCATTTTTATAGGATATCCTTGAATGTTTCTCACAATTTGCTTGTAGAAGAGATTAACTCGTTTGTGGTTCCAAGCTCCAGTAATGTTAAACAATTTTTCTGTAAACGGATTATATAAGAATATATATTTCGACAAAATTAGGGATGCTTCCAGTAAATCTCTTTTCCATAATTGTTTTGCAGCGTTATTTAGATTACATATATTTTCTTCATCTCGTATATGTAGCATCATTCGTCTTCTCGGATTCCAGCGACGGATTCGACCAAGAATTTCAAGACTTGTTATTGTTGCATTAATTGAACGTTCAGCGCAACTAGTCAGAAATATGAGGTATCCATCCTCGTCGCTTGTGGGAAGTAATTGCATCGTTGCTGGCCCTGAGAAAGTTAGCAAGAAGGTAAACGCCGCATTAGACTGACGTGTTGTGACCACTCTGCAGTCCGTAACGTACGTTGAATAAACTATTACATGTCTTCTTGTGCCGAATATTGTCTTCATTTCACTCGTAAGATCACACTCTGAAGTTACAGTTTTTACTATATAATTTTTAAAATGTAAATTATCGGCGGCGGTTATTATAGAGGCAAAATAAAAAATCAATAGTGGCAGTACACAACGCATGGTAATGTACACCTCAAATTGTATTGATTTTGAAGCAATAATAATCCTTGTTGATCCTTCTGATGCGATAAACTCAAGCACTCCATTTAAGGATGAGACATTCCTCATGAATGCAAATATACCTTTTAATATTGTTACAGAGAATACGCTTATACAACCTACACCTATACCAATTATATTATTGGCGGTAGGTTCAATAAAAGAGTAATAGTGTTTATTCCATCTGGCAGCTTTTGTGTCGTGCAAAGCGTGAAGGTTCTCTAATTCTGTGAAAGTGCTACTAAAAGCTTTAAATGGTCTTCATAACAGGAAAGTTGAAAGCATTCTAAAAAGCATATTTATGTATGATGAACTTTCTGAAGTAGACCTATGGGACTGAAATGTCAATGGATTTTAGTAGAAAACCGTTTATTTAATTTTTGTGAAATCGCGGTGCATCCTGAACGGTATATTTATTACACTACTCGGAAGTAATGAAGTGAAAAATATGACACGTGAGTGAAAATCAATAGCGTGCATAAGTTTTTATTTGAAAGGACTTGCGCTGAAATGTTTCCATGTACGAGTCCGTACAACACAGTAACTATAAAGTAAGGATACCTACATGTACAAACTATTTATGGATAGTAAAATAGGCCAAGTAAAAAGGTCTTTCTTCTATACAGTGAGTTCTACCAATCCCAATAATTCTCTCATTACAACAACATGTATGCATAAGCATGAATTGAAGACACTAAGTTTTACTTGTCTGAGTTAGGAGATGAATATGCGACAGCCAAGAGGCACTATCTCCCTAAAAGTCCAATTTCAAAACAAAGTGTTCACACGCTATCAATCCGTTCCTGTTGAGGTGATTTCTGGTTTCTGTGATTTCATTGGGTTTAATACCATATTAAAGGGATTTGCTTGAAATAATGTTTACGTCTTGCAACAAATACTCTCCCCAGAATTCTTAAGGAGCCTATTCGATATTTTCGCCCAGAAATTGCAACGTCAGCCTTTGTAAGTTTGTAATCTAGGGTTCCTGTGACAGCACAATTATCGGTTCCGCCGATTTCGCGCTAACTAGTGCTGCTACTACAGTACGTACTTTCACGCGAAAAGCACTCAAGTTTTCGATAAAATATGCCTGACCTTACTTGAAAATCTATCTTCAAGGAACAAATTGCGTTAAGGGGAAAATCTCTATCTTCAGAAATGTAGTTCTACGAAGACGTCGAAAATATTTTGAATTTTTGTAATTTTCGAAAAAACATTTTTAATTAAAATTAAACCTGCACCATTCTCTTAAACTTTGTTTACACTATTAAATTTTAATCAAAACAACGGAGCTATTTTTCTACATTTTGAAAATGTCCTCCGTGCTAAATGTAAAGTACCCAAGAAAATTAAAATCTCTTTCAAATTGAAGGGGCCGTGACATCAGCTATATCTATTTTTCAACTCTTTTTTATATATTTCAATTTTGTATATATTTTAAATATTTATTTATATATTTCAATTATTTTTCAAATATTATTTATCTTACAATTTTTAAAATTTATTTTTATTTATTTATGTTAAACTTTTACTCATCTTTCAACTATCTATAGTTTAAAAAAATTGCGTGTAGTGCGGCGAATAAATGTATGTATGTAAATGAGATGGGATTCTGAAAAGGGATTCTGGAACTCAAGAAAACGTTCGCAGATAATCTTCTTTCCCTACGTCACATACTGATTTTACTGCTTTTTGATTAAATAAATCTAAATCTATCTATTAGGGAATATCAGTTTTGGAGACATTTAACTCAACGGTTTAGACACTATCGTTGTTCACAGGCGGATAGACAAACAGAGGCGTTTTCCCGTCATTCGATTTTTCGGTATCAAGGATCCACAAAACCTGGATTGACTGACTAACTCACGTTTTAGAGGATTTTTTTCTAAATTTAGCAACTGGACTTGTAATAAGAGTTTTCATCGCGCAAAGGCTTCCTTGGCTTTGTGTAAAGTACCCCCAAATTTGAAGGAAAGTTTTTTAAAAGCGCGTCGCCTCGAGTGCAGTTAGATTGCCTCAGGAATATCCATTTTGTAAAAAATACTACGTTTGGTTTAGGAGCTAGTGCTGTTCACAGACTGAGAGGCAGACTGAAAGAGACGAACAGACGGATGGACGGACGGACGTTTTGAAAAGAATCACTTTTTTGGTATTAGAGGATCCCAAAACGTGTATTTCCTTTGAAATATCGAAATCGATTTTCCACAGCATTGCATAACTTTTGTTATTTGTGCTGTTGAATGTTACAAAAGAAAAAATAAACGATAGAGAAAGAAAAATATGAGAAAAAGAAGACAGTATAGAGCTTGGAGGAGCTCAAAGGAGGATGATTGGTTGATGTGAAGTATCTGATAGTAAGGGGACAGCCAATGGAATCGTCAGGGACAGCTCTTGTCGTTAGTCCATAATTTGGAGAATATTTTTCATTTCAAAGTTGGGGGATTTTCTTTTACTGAAGAAGATATTTGTGGAAATTCGGCAGTAGTGATGGAAAAAGAGTTCGCAGTACATTTGTCAACTGTTGCTAAGATCCTACTGGCGGACACCGCTTCCATGGAAACTTCTAATGTAATCTCTTAGAAAGGGAATGTTATTTGTTACTTTGTTGTTGTTTTTTTTTTTGCAAAATCGGCGATCTATATATGATTAATAAATTTTAGATTATTCATTGTATCTTTTGACTTTATGTACCAGAACTTGTAACAGAATTATTGATCATTTGTTGATGATGCAAATATACTCATCCAATACGAAGAAATGCTCAGAAATTGAAAGAAATCTATGCAGTATATGGTCGTCTAAAAGGTGTATGTGATTTCGTCAGATAACCAGGAAGTTGCAAAATTGAAAAACAATACAGCAGTTTGATTTTGATAGAAAAATGAAAATATTTGATCCTACTCATAATATTTGTTGCCTATTTTCATAAACAGCGGATTGATTTGGAAATTGTTGATATTATAACTCTATTATGTCTTTGTGCACAGAAAGTTCGTTACATTTAACTCGATATCGACTCATTTTATATCAATAAACTAAATGGAAGCATGTCGGGAAGAAAGACTAACTGGAAGATTAAGACGTATGTTTTTCTGTAAGCTATGTTACTTGTAAAACCAAAGATTTCGTGTTATAGCGCATACGCTGTTTATTGGACATCGACATAGCGATCGATGTATAACGCCCTCTAAGATAGATGAGTTACAGTTTACGATTGGCCAGTAGGGAAAAGCGGTAAGGAAAATCGGATAGAAAAGGCGATAAACGTTTTGAGATACACCGCCCTGATTGGGTCATTTTGTATGTACAGTTCAACCCTATTGGTTTTAATTTCACGAGTGGAACAGTCAGTTTAATTTTTCCGGGGTTTTATTCAGAGTTCTTTTACATGTCGCAAGTACGGCGTGACCACTGGATTTTTCTGAACATGGAAAACCATACAAAACCTGCACCCCAGCGGGTTCGAACACATAGTATAGGATTTACCTACAGGTTTTCGTGCGAGGTTTTTCCAACCGGGTATCTCCCATCAGCGGGTCACTCCCCAAACCAGTATAAGTTTTTGGCTCCCGGCCTGTGAGATAGTGTAGCGCATGTTAGTGAAAGTGTGTGTAAGTAAGGAGTGAGAATAGGACGATGAAGAGGTAGGAAAGATCGCGCGCGGTCAGTGACCAGTTTGTTAGGGAACTGCTCTGGCATTCGCCTGGTGTTGATGGAGAAACCACGGCAAACTGTCCATTAGAGCTGCCAGCCTTTGGAATTCTCCAGACAGCGGCTGAATGCGACTTAGCTATGTAGCTAGTGTCTAAACTGCTGCCACGGTCAGGACTGGAACGCTATAACCTCCACATCAGTGACACAATGACATCAAGTGACGCCTAAGCCGGTATGGTTGTCGATCTAAAGAGTCATGGTGCTATGTTTTAGGTTCGCTGAGCAGATTGTGCTAGCTACGGTCCTCGCGGCAGTAGTCGCCACGTTGATATGGGGTGAAACCCAAACTTTGTTTCTTCAAAAATTACAAAAATGTAATTTTTTGACTTGTCTCTCCCGTCGTTAATATTAGCGGCGACTTGTTTACACTATTGCAGTTACTAGAACGTTCTTTAAATGATGACTTATAAACTTTTTCGAAAACGTAGAATTTTTCTGTGAAAATGAGCTCAAAACTCTGCATTTTCAGAAATGCTTTACCGCCATTTTCTCAAAAACTGCACCAATTTTTTTCTTCAATCTTTTCCTAAGTATAGTGAAAATTAGACTGTTTAAGATGACAAAATCCATTTTGGCGTATTCTTTTTAAATATATCATACGCCGTTGATATGCACATTTCCAGAGATCTTCAAAAGATTAAAGATCTTCAAAAACTTGAAAACTTGAGTTTTGTGAAAAAGAGCTTTATATTTCGCATTTACAAAATACGGTTAAACGATATTTTCTCAAAAATGGCTCAAAATTTTTCAACGAAAATTTACGTAAGGGACGAGATTTTACTCTTTTGTAATATTATCTATAATAAAAATTCAGTTCCACATTTTCTTGAAAATTTTAGTTTGCCCGTAATTGTGAGTGTAATACCTAGTGCTTTTGCCCGAATGGGGCAAATTGACCCGCATAGAATGATAGAAACGCCATTTTCCTGTTTTTGGTATTTAAAGAAACTAGCGTACCCGTGCGAGACGTTGTTAAAAAAACGTGTTTATTTCTTTAAAAACATTAAAAAAGTAGCTTCCAAAGTACCTATAGAATTTAATACAAAAAATAAAGAAGACTGAAATTAGCGTTTGAAACACATTTTGAATAAAGGTTTATTCAGTGTTATACATGGTTGTTAAAAGGTGTTATACATGTGTTGTGAAGTGGTCTTGAAACAATTCACAACACTTCCTAAAAAACAGCATTTGAATAAAATACACAATTTTTCATAACAGCTTTTTGCTTTTCTTGATAGTCACAAAAATATTACAAAAGCTTTTTACTCTCGGGAAAGCTACTTAAAATTGTTCATGCGAAAAAACATGATCGGACAAGCATAACCCTACTCTTCGGAATATCATTTAACTTTATTTCCGAACTGAGAGGTACACTCGTGCAGTTTAATCTTCTAGAATATTAAGTAGTTAGTTTCATTACACATACAGTTGCAAGTTCTGTATGTTACTAATTCTGCAGATTCTATGGATACTGTAGGTTATATCGCAAACTTTTCTCGGAAACAAGAATGTCAATACTTACACTCGATAAATGAACGGTCGTACTATACACATAAAAGGATAATCTTCCTCGGTATCAAGCAGCTATTAATACTTTTTGTTGCTGCGAGATCATTTAGGTTTATTTGCATATATAATCTTGAATGAATGATTATGTATATAAACCTCATCAGTCGGCGCAAATCACGGTGTACACACAAAGAATTCATATACTTTGTAGAAATCTAAGCCTTCTAAGAGTGATGTCACAGACAAAGAGCGCCTCCAACGTCGAGTAATACAGTTGGTATTGGTTAATACCGATAAGTGAAGGACCAGCAAAAATGAAATAAAATACCCAATAATATCGTTTCCTATAGATTACTGCATAAAAATATTTGTTTGAGGCCGTTGACGTCATATTTTCAAGTTTCAAATTATAATTTTTTCACCTCTTTAAATACATTTTACTTGGGCAAGTTATATCCATTTCCTGTGATCGAAAATATGTTGTAATGTGTTTTTAACAAATAACAAAATAATCTAATTCCGCCCATAATATTTCTTCGTGATTTTTTTCCAGTTAAAGATTCAATTGTAAAACAGTTGATATATTAAGATACCACACCATGTAATCTCATTAGCCTACTATTTACCATATTTTTAAAATGTCTTTTCATAAATCCATTCAACTTATTGTATTTACTAACGTTTTCTTGCATTTTGGGATTAATGTCATTAGGTTGTTGGCTGAATATATATTAATTTTATAATTTGGTTGTTGGCAACAATTTTTATTCTTCTCAAATATAATTATTACAAAACCTTTGTATGCTATACCCTTCTTACTACATATACTTAAATTATCACTTGTGCATACCGTTCAGGAATATTATTTTTCTTTGGAGACCTTCTGAGGTAACCAAAAGGACTGATTATCAGCATTAGTCAGATACGTAAGTTGTTTATATCTCGATATTGGTATACTACCTCTTGGATTTGTGAGATATATACTCCACAATTCTGTTATGTTTTTCAACATTTGAATGTTGAACAGGCATGGAGACAATGGGTGTCGTTTGGTAATTAAATGATTTTCATTCAATTTAATTGTTTGTATTTCAATACTTATCTGGGGCGATGGCCACATTTTTAAATCATTTATTGTAATTTAATTGCGCATTGCAACATGCGCATCTTTTACGCCAAAATGAAAGCGGGAATTTTATTAACTACGCGTAGTGACATAATTTGATTTTATTATGAAATTTAAATATCAACAAGGCTATTCACACAGTTAACGACCGTTGCTAACAACATGGGTATATAATGATTTGACAGCCTGAAAATCGTAAATTTACATATTTTATATTTATCATGTCTAAATTCTCTGAAGAGTATCATACATGACGAAAATGGACTACCACATGTAAGGGCTTTCTATATGGAATCGTCGACCGCAGATGAGGAATGTGGGGATCTTCAAAACAAATACTTGCCCTCAGTAAGGTAAAGTTACTTCAGTTGTCATTAACTTCACATCTAATATTGACGATGCACTTGGTCGATTTCAAACGATTATGAGAATGAACATTTTTTCTTCTTCTTGACTGTTGAATGCATTTCAGATATTTTATTCAATTTAATAAACTAGTATACTTATTTGTGACAATTTGGATTGTTTGCAACCAAAATGGAAGAAAGAAGGACTGTATTAATTGTAATATAATTTGACGACACAAATACAGAGAATAAACATTAACTTATTTCTTTACTATTATCAGTTAAACGGAAGAGAACTGAATCCTGTTACTATTCTAATATCTGCAGAAATTCAACATTGTTTACTGGTAAGTTCAAATTAATTAATAAACCACTTTCTGATATTTTCATATCTCTTTTCTTAGTTTAAATATATTACAACTAAGATAATATGTGTTTGTGCAAGGAAAAACGACTTTTTTCTAAATGACTTGCCTTGCAAGATCTGAAAATTATCCCCAAATGTACAACATGTCTGCTGAAATGCGCATCACTGTTTGACCTTGTTAGAAGCATAATTAGTTGCTAAATTTAGGACAAAATCGTCTATCACGTGGTGTAGCCATAATTTATTTTGTTGATTTTTCTTGATACTGAAAAATTGATTGACGGCAAAACGTCTGTCCGTCTGTGGTCAACGCGTCTAGCGGCTGAACCGTCCAACCGATTTTCTCCAAAATTGACATAACCCAATTCGATATGGCGGCCCCTGGAATTTGAAACCGATATTTTAATTTCGTAGGGTACTTTACATGACGTCCTTCGGACTTTTACAAAAATTTCAACAAACGGCTCCAATTTTTTTGATAAAATTTTGTTGTTCAATAGCGCGAAAGACAATTAAGAGAATGGTACAGGTCTCATTTTCGGTAACATCTCCGATTTTTCGGGAATTTGCAAAAAAAATAAAATAAAATTTAAAACTATGAAATTGAAGATAGACGTTTTTGAGTTAGACAAGGTCTGTTGTACAAAATTAGGGCTTTCAAAGGTCACGTACATTTTTTAGTAAAAGTTAATAGTTTTTGCGTTAATTTGCGCTTGAATTATTTTTTCTTCGTCTCAAGAACCTCTCCATTTTTTCTTTAAATTTTCATTAAATATGTAAAAAAGGACGCTAAGAAATATAGTGCTAGTCCTATTTTCGGGTATTGCTCGGTTTTTCAAAAATAACAAAAAATTTAAAAGTACATAATTGAAGAACGATGTTTTTGTCTCAGACAAAGTCCGTTGTACAAAATTAACCTCTTTAAAAATGTCGTGTTTTATGTTTAGAAAAAGTTAGAATTATTATCGTAAATTGCACTTGAAATTTACGGAAAAGTTTTTAAAAAGCGCTCCAAATTTTTCTTTTAATTTTCTCTACATATGTAATAGGGGACGGTAAGAAATATGGTGCTGGTCCCATTTCTGGGTATTGCTCGTTTTTTGAAAATTGCAAAATTATAAAAACTACAAAATTAAGATATTTTTGTCTCTGAAAACACTTGTTGTGGCTATTTAATTAATTAGCTATTATAATAAATAATAAATTAAGTAGTAGTGCTAAAGAATGGTACAAACTTTCTCACCCTAGCTAGTTTTCTAATCTCTTTACCTATGAGTAGCTTTTGCGGGAAGTCTGTTTCTTTTCACAGCTGCTTTGATTTTGTCGCCCTAAATACAATTGTTTTTTTGCACATTTTCTCAATTACTCGACTCTATAATACTAGAACAGAAACCACCATCACTTATTACTATTATAGAAGAATATATTTCATGTCCTAACGAGCTAGCTAAATCAGTGGGTACGGCCCCAGCTCTTCGGAGGGAAGGATGACTGATTCGAGTCTTGGCAGGGAATTATTATTTGTGTTGCCGCACGAAATAATTGAGAATTCATTGAAAACCATTTAAAGCTATTCGAATCGCAAATATTATTATTATTCAACATAAAGTCTCTGTATGTTATTTTCGAATTTTTAACGTTTAAACAACTTTTCATATCTCTTATTGGATTTGTAAAACGCGTGTCTCGTCTAATCAATAGTTGAGGTTTTGCGCACCTGCATGAACGAATTCAAGTAATATAATGAATGTATATCAACATTAAATTTCAAATAACTCGCAGAGGTGCCGGACAGCATCCTGGGATATTCCGCCGCAGGCCTCTTGAAAGGATGCGCACAATTCCCGAAATCGCGCGGGCGAGGAGTGCTCTGTAGCGACCTCCGTTGCATCCCACGCGCGCTCCATAGGGGAGAGACCTGGGGAGGCAACGGTGCTTGCAGCCCCTCCCTAGCGATGGCTACCGTGTGCGGTCGGGCATTGTTCTCGAATACTGCCCCAACGAACGAGTCCAAAAACCGTAGAGCAACTGGCTGCAGGATCCCCTCCACATAGCGGCGTGCCTTCGATAAACACCAGAGATGACTTGGCGTTACACGCAAAGCCCCCCCCCCCACACACACACACCATGACACCAGGTCTCTGAGCCGTTTTGCGTTTGGCAGTAAACCGCGGGGTTTCACGTTTGCCAGGGTGCTCCACACGCTAATTCTCTGGTCATCTCCGCACGGACAGAGGCGAGATTCATCGCTGAACACCACGTGCTGCCGGTCCACGCCACCCGCTTGACTCACCATGCCAACCTGGGCTGCCCTCGGCGAACCGTTAAGAGGAACCGTCTGCACGGCCGGTGTGAGCGTAAATCCACGACAATCCCATGACGCATGCGCGATGAGGCGTGCACACGGAGTTGCCTTCCGATGTGGTAACGACCCACCAAGTTTCAAACAATTCGGTCGCTTCCTTCTAGGTGCAACTCTTTTTTGTCTAAGAATGCATGCCACTCAAGTCGTTAATATTTACATTACAGGAATTTTTGCATTATTGTATTTGTGAGTACAAGTGCTTTAAACAATTTCTTATTACGTTTCTACGAAACTAAACAGAATTTAGTTAAATGATTGCGTATTTTGAAAAACGCGCAAACGATATGTTCTAGAGAAAGGCTGCAAAACTTTCAATAAAAATTTGCGTATAGTAATATATATTATTCTGCAATATTGTTACAGACTTACTCATTTTTACTATTACGGGTCGTAAAATTGAGAAAATGTGACCAAATGGGGGGAAAAAATTAATTTTTGGGGTGGATAGATAGCGCCTGGAAGGAGTGACGAGCAATTTGGAAAAGCTAGTCTAACTAATGCGAGAAAGTCTATACCATTCTGTAGCACCGCTGATTTTCTTTCAACTTCTTGTATGAGTTGCATTCCCACGTTGATTCGATTGCTTTCAAAGATGAAAATATACTTCTAAAAAATAATCCAGCTGGCGACGTAAAACTTATTTTTAAGTAAAATTTAACAAATATTTTATTAAATTAATGATAAATGGTGTAAATTACTTTCCTTTGGTAGTAATTATTTAATTTTTGAATTACATATTATATCCCTTTTAAAATATTTATCACATATTCTTATCGTATTTATAACATTCATAACATAACATACATGAACACATTTTGCCGTTTTATGCCATATATTTTTTCGGACAATACTGATGATTCTCGCCACCTCTGAGATTATAATAGCAGTTTATGCAATTAATTTATAATGTTAAGTTTTATTGCATGAGTACATGTTTTGAACACGAGCGACTTTAGGAGCGAGTTTTCAATTTTGTACGAATGTAATAAAGCAACATTATAAACGATTTTCATACTATATTTTTTTTGTATAACAGCATTATACATTTATAAGAGAATCAAACTTAATTTTGCGAAACAACTTCCCTGTGACGACTCGAATAAACGGTGGTCGGCTGTTCCGTTTAGCTCTACCTCACCCCATTCTCTCGTTATGAGTGGCTGAATGAGTGATGACGCGATCATTGATGTCATAAAATCGAATACGTCCTCATTGGTGCCGTAAAATGCCCGATTATGAACGATTTCTTGCAAGAGAAAAGGTTCTTTTATAATGCTGGAATACAAAAAAAAGATATTTTAGTGAGTTTGGAAGGGGCAGAAGTGCTCGGATATTTTGCAACTAAATGAAAATATCTTATGAAGGCCTCAGGCTTGGTCCCCACGCTTTGGCAAAGTACAGTGAGGGTGTAGTACGTAACACAAACGATTCATTACTTACTTTGTTTTTATTCTCGTAATGAATTAGTATTGTATTAATATGTGTCGGTAAACAAACATGTTTATATTATTTATGGTTGCTCGTAAAAATTACTTTATATATTGAAGCACTATTTTCTATAAAAATAAAAAAAAACATATTGTGCATTAACAGTTGCTTACCAATGTTATTCCGGTACGAGGAGAACACCAACGGTTCAACAGGAGATCTGAGCATAACTCGCAATACAATTGAAGGAACATTCTATATGTTTAAGAAAAAACTTAAACAGAGGAGGTTCTTTTTTAATGCTGGAATACAAAAAGTTGTAGAAGTAGCCCCAGGCACCCGTTACGCCGCTCCGCAGGCGCCCGCCGCCGCCCGCATGGCGTTCGCCCATCTGCCGCTGGCGCGCCGCGACGCGCAGCGCCTCCACGAGGTGGCCAACCTGCGGCGCAGCGACGACGTGCGCGCCGCCGCGCGGGAGGTGCGCGCAGCGCGCAGCACGTCGCTCCTTCGCGCCGCCCTCGCCCCGCCCTCGCCCGCGCGCGCACTCGGACTCGCCCCCGTCCCCGCCGCCGCCCCCGCGCGCCCGCCCGGCGCCACCGCCGTCTCCGCGCTGCCCCTGCCCAAGGTACGAGCAGCGCAACCACATTAGAACCTAGATCAGATTGGATTTAGCATTTCTGCGCGTGGGTTTATACAACCTGGTGGCACAACACTACAATTTACACATTACAATTAGGAATATTAATACAATGTCATTTTAAATTATTTTACGACTACAATAATAATAGTAATTATAATAATACGATAGTAATTACAATAATAGCAATAACGCTACATGTTAAGGCTCTCCTACACAGATATTTTAACTAATAAATGCACTTTAACACGTTCTACATATTTTTTTTATTTTTTTACCTAATTTTATTACTCATATTTACGTATTTACTAATGAACTGGTTCGTAACTTGACTCCATTCGTCATTCGCTGTTTTCCTCCCGTAATTCCATCTCATAATTCCGTCCGTAAGAGAACATGTAGCAATACTCAAGTGATTTCATATTTCTCTCGTCACCGAGATCCTTTCGTCCAGGTAAGTTGTCAAGTGAATATGGAGCAACGTATTGAAGGCAATAACTAGCAATAACGCATCAGTAAAAAAATAAAGTGATTTTTGGTTGATTGATTACGGGCAGGTCAATTGTTAAGGTTATTAGTCCCGTAAGTGCAGTGCACGATTTTTTACCGCGCGCGATTTTCCCCATTGGGTGGCAAGATACAGCGGCGACTTGTCGACTTGTGGGGTTTTCCTCATCCGGGTATCTCCCACCAGCGGGGCCCCATTTCTGCGTGGACAAGACCTAAGCTCTCGCGACTGGTCTTCCGACTTGTGTGGTAGTGTAGGGCATGCAAGTGAATGTGAGTGTACGTAAGGGGTGGAGAAAGGACAAGGAAGAGGGAGAAAAGATCACGTGCGAACCGTGGCCTGTTAGGGCTCTCGCCCGGTATTGATCATAGAAGCCAGAGAAAACTACTGATCAGAACAGCCGGACGCTACAAATCTCCTCCAGAAAGAGGCTTAATTCGACCTAGCTGTATAGCTCCTGCCACAGTCGGAATTGAAACCGTCGGACCTCTCAAGTCAGAAGCACTGTGGTGACAGCAGTTGATGTTCTGAGCCACCCAAGCTGGACAAAAAATTGTCCCTTTGAGGAAACTATTGAAATGTTTAGAAAATACGGATAGAGACCAACGCGCCGAGACCGGTGTGTCCGAGAATGCTCGATTCGACGCTGCCATTCTGAAGAACAACGATAACGATATAGTGCAGTCAAGAAGTAATTTTACTTTGTTAAACGTGAGGTACAATATATTATATTTTTATATTATTTTTAGTAAGAAAACGAAATTTTTCATCTCGAAATACTTGGGGACAAGTTTTGGTAGCCAAAAAAATGTCTCAGCTACGCGACGCGCCCTCTTTGGGCTCGCCCACGCTCACGCCCGCGCCCACGCCCGCGCCCACGCCCGCGCCCACGCCCGCGCCCACGCCCGCGCCCACGCCCGCGCCCACGCCCACGCCCTCGCCTACGCCCACGCCCGCCACGCGGCCACCGCCGTTGCCCCAGGCGCCCGAGGGCTCCGCCCTGAACAGTCCCCCTAACACACCTCCCGCAGGCAGTATTTTTCTCTTCCCGCAGGACAGGAGTTTGTGCATATTTATACAAGTTTGAATCAATGTTCCTTGTTGATATGTTATGTGCTATTGCATTTGCTTCATCGTAATATGAAACTTCATTACTTGCAACGACTTACGTCCTGTTAAATAAAGTATCAAAACTAAATAAAGAAGCATTTGTCAGTTCATGTTTGACAAGACGCTCATCATAATGTGAACAGATTGGATGGTGTAATTCATTCCATCCCATGGGAGGAATAATGACAATAATTGCCATATATGCAATCGCGTTTCTTCTAGATCCTAATCCACGACAGCAAAGCAGGTTATTTGCTAATTCCATTCATATTGACGGTTTTCAGCGAAATTTATTTTTGATAAGGGAAACTTCGTAATCACGTGAACACAAGTTCTGTGTTTATAGGGCAATCCTGTTTGTGATTGAATATATTCAGTCGTATTCTCTTTCCCAGCCAGGAAACAATAGGTTTAAAAATCGTAGTATATATTTTATGATAGAAGAATTGTGGAAATACCTGGCTATCAAACACAATCTGACCGTCTCGATTGGTCATTCTCTACGTTGCATCGTCAGGACCGACGGAGTCCCGTCAGGACTCAAACCTAGGACCTCCCGATGACACGATTTTCGACACTAGCCAGAGAGCTGGGTCGAATTTAGCGCGCTGTCTGGAGGAGAATTATAGTGGCCGGCTGCTCTCATCGGTAGTTTCCGTGGTTTCTCTGGCGAATGCCGGAGCCATACCCTAACAAACGGGCTACAGGACCCACGCGATCTTTCCTACCTCTTCCTTGTCCTATCATTACCTCTTACGTACACACACATTCCCATGCCCTACACTATCACGCTTGTGGGGAGCGCTTGGAGCGTGGGGGCGGGGGTGGGAGGTAACCGGCGCGGAGGAGGAAAACGCAAAGTTGAGAGCCGCGCGGTGGGCGCGTGCGGCAGAAGTCGGCGGCGGCGGCGCTCATCGGGCGCGTGCACGCGGCGCGCGCGCGCCTCGACGTGTCGGGGACGGCGCTGGCGCAGGCGCAGGCGCGGCGCTCCACCCCCGTGAGCGCGTGCGCCTCGGCGTCGGCCGCCGCCGCCGCCTCGCTGCAACAGGTGCCCTCACGCGCGCTGCGAAGCATTCACGCTCCAGCCGCCTCGGCCGTACAGGCCGCCGTCTACAGTCGACTCCGGTTGTAGTGAACGTGCTCCTGGAAGTTACTCCCGTGTGTCTTTAGGCGAGTTTAAGTTTCCAAGCACAAATAAAGGTATTGAAGTTTTCTTTTCGCGCTGATACTGAATTTTGTTGCATTTCAATATTAATAAAATCAATCATTGAGAAATTCTATTTAATTTGAACATCAGCCGAACCTCTGATACACTGATCCAAACATGTTAGTCCCCAGACGTTCACTATAACCGAAGTCTACTGTGGATGCCGACCTGGATGGCCGAGGTGGCTAGACCGTGTGTCGACTCAGCGCTTCGGTCTGGAGAGTCGTGGGTTCGTGTCTCGCTGTGGGTATGCTTGTTTGTTGCTTGTCTTCCATGGATGGGTGTTGTCGCGGAAGGTCGTGTGAGTCTGCCGACCGCAGGCCGAAGAGCATGCAAGTGCGTCTTGTGTTTTGGTTCGTGTGTGCCCCCGTGAGGGTTATAGTGGGTACCCGGCGCGGATAGCCTAAATCGGCATCACTGGAAGAAGTCCCAGGAGGAAAAAATAAAAAAAGTCAGTAGATGTTTTTCTTGAAAACAATCTAGTAAATGCTGAAATAATAAATGCTAATGAATCGACTGTAGTGTAGCTGAACGACCCTTAAGTTCAGCAGACTACCATGATGACACCACAAAACATATTTACGTGTTCTCACATTTATATGTAATTCCATTCACATGTGAGATTTGTAAATATCCAGCCAAGCCAGCTTTGATTTCAACTTAAAATCATTTGATTTCTGATGAAAGTTACAAATGAACAAACAAAACGTCCAAGTTCATTCAAGTGACAACTGTCAACAATACTTTTTTATAAAATTCGTAGTTCAAATAAGTGTGTAGGACGTCGAGTTCTGCAATCAGCGAAACGCATTCTAACACCTTTCTGGGCCTCGCTTTCAGGTGATTCTGGAAATCCGGAAGTCCTTCGATCCATCTTCGAATGATTCTTTCCAGCATCTCGTTCGCTGTTAATATTTACTAAGTAACCGTGTAATAATGATTTGCGATAACTAAGCATAGATTTATGAATAAACAAAAAATATTAGGTTATTGTTTTAATTTACATTCCGATTTTATTTTGTGAATATGAACAGACATGCAGGATAATGGCGGGAACACCGGGAAGTGTTTGCGTTACATACCAGTGTTTCTACAGATGCAATTAAACATTTATTAAAAATCAAAGTTTCAAAAACGCCTAAAATTTTGCATTTTCAGTAATGCTTAAGCGAAATTTTCTTAAAAACGGCAACAAATTTTTCAATTATAATTTCCGATTAAGGCGAAGTTTTACACGTCTCTAACATTAAAGTAATGTTTCGTTTCTACAATTAAGAAATCGAAAAATAATGTTTCCAAAAAGTGTAATTTGGGTGGTGATAGATGACAGCTGGCCAGAGCGTGGGGCAAGTCTGAAAGGCCAGCCCAGACCACAGAATTTAGGAAACTAATACGAGAAAGTCTGTGTGGCTTTTTGGCGTTTCCTGTCTCTTTTCTGCATATGCTAACACGCGTCTTTGCAGAGAGGAAAGCGAGAGGCTAGCAGGGCCAATAACGGATCTTGACGGTTACCTTGTGCTCTATTAGTCGCGCAAGTTTTCTTGATATATGAGCGCCCTAGTCCTCATCCAGCGCTGAGTAGCACGGCACGTTGAGATACTTAGGTTCGACACTTAACTATTTGCAATGCTGGCAACAACGACCTCGTATTTTCAAAACTATCGTAGCATTTCTCGAGGCACGCTTTTGACGAGTGAAGTTCATGCCCACAGTTGGTACGCTCTTTTAAGCCGTGACGTAGCCAGAGCCATCCTCTCCCCGCAACCTTGCTGTGGAATATAAAGTAAACTTACGCGCTTAGTACAACTGAGTAGCATTGTCGACCGCTTCATAGTGTTTAATGGTGTGCCTGCGCAACGTGTTTCGCTTTTTCTTCACTACCGCCTTTTACCGCCTTTTGCTTCAGGCCGTTGAGGCGCGCGCCTCGGAGGCGGCAGGCTGGCCACGCCCGGGCCCGGGCCCCGGC